CAGCGGTAGTTAGACCAGGTCCATCTGACCCCATCAGCTATTGCTGTTGTTGTGTGCAGCTTGCTGATTGTTCAAGAAATCCAGAAGTTATCAGGCAGTGCATCTGTATTGGAACCATAAACCATAGAATATCCTGAGATGGAAGGGATCCACAAAGATCATCGAGTCCAACTCCTGGCTCCACACAGGATCACCCAAAAAATCAGACCTGATAACCCCTGTGTCTGAGAGCCTTGTCCAAACGCTCCTTGAACTCTGGCAAGCTCAGTGCTGTGACCACATCCCTGGGCAGCCTGTCCCAGTGCCCAACCACCCTCTGGGTGCAGAACCTTTCCCTAACCCCCAGCCTGACCCTCCCCTGTCCCAGCTCCATGCTGTTCCCTCGGGTCCTGTCTCTGTCCACAGAGAGCAGAGCTCAGTGCCTGCCCCTCCATTCCTCTTGTGAGGGAGCTGTAGGCCGCCATGAGGCCTCCCCTCAACCAGCCCTGCTATGGACTGAGCAATATGGGTGACTTTAGCTGCTCCTCATGCATCTTGCCCTCTAGACCCTTGACCATCTTTCTTGCCCTCCTTTGGACGTTCTCTAATGTTCTTCTTATGTCCTTATATTGTGGTGCGCAGAACTGCACTCAGTACTTGACATGAGGCTACACCAGTTCAGTGATCGGCTGATGCCCTGAGGCATGAGGATTTGTATCCCTTCAAAAACTCTTATCTGTTTTGGAGGATTGGGTTTCTTTTTAGTTTTGGTTTGCTAGTTTTCAAATTACAAAGTAGTAAATTCTTCAGCTTAGAGCTAGGGCATGTTTTTCCTTCCATGTGGTTAAGAGACGTGAAGAAGAGCAGGTCCACTGACCTTATCTACCTCAGATAAACATGCATGAGGGCTTTCTCTGTGCACTAGTTTCTGGTGCTGGTCTCTCGTGAAGGGGGATTCCCAGGAAGACTGTGGCAGTTCAGATTCTCTGTCAGCCATGATTCTTTCCATAAGTTGTTGGTTATGTGGCATATACAAGTTGGCGAAAGAGACTCAGAGCACCTTTGCATCCTAAATTGCCCCCAGAGCTCATAGCAGTTGCATGGTATGGATCAGATGTCCCGACCACAACCCCTCTCCAGCTGTCCACATCCATGCCGGAGGTCAGAGCTGGTACCTAGGAGCCCTGCGGCAGCATGGCAGTGTCTGTGACCCTCTCTGCAACACTTTCAGCTGAAGCACAGGCAGGGAAGTGTATTACTGCCATACAGCCCATTCAAAGAAAACCATTGCATCTTTACAAACCAGGAGTTGTTGGCAGCTCTCAAAGAGATGCAGACATCTCTGACATGACTGTTAGCAAAAATGAAAGGCATAAATAAATTGTTTGCTGTAATAACTCTTTCAAAAACCTTCAGTTGCTAGTGCTGACCCAGAGAAAAAGACACTGAAGTCTTGAAGCTGCTGGTCTTAACCTGCAGAAATGGAATAAGCTCAGGTGCTGAAAGCGCACTAAGTCTTTTTCAATTTTCCTGCCAGAGTGAGAAGTATTTGCTCAGATGAACAAATTACAGAACAGCTCCAAAGCAATGCAGAAAAGAATAAGCTTCTTAATATATACCAATTTCTGCTTGGGGAACAGTGAAATTCATTTACCTGGTTCCCTCTCTTAGCTGCCTGTGCTGCTCTTAAGGGCAGATAATGTAGAGAAGAATTTGGCTGGTGTCAGCCCTTTTTGTCTCACTAAATTGCTGAGAGTCCTGGGGTAGGCAAAGATGATAAAGTACTTGGGGGAAAATGTAGTGTAGAGGAAATGGTAGAAGTGTCCTGCTCCAGCTATGGAGGAGAATGGAGCTTCCTGTGTGGTAATATCTGTCATTCCCATTTGTTTATGTCGGTTGTAATATTCACATACAAAGAAAGAGAAAAACATGTGCGTATGGGTGTATGTGTATATAAATACACACATAAAATAGCAGTTGTCTACATAGCATGCATAGTGGTTTTGGGATCTGTTTCTAAGTGGTTCGTGGTATATCCGTGGATATACCACGTGTAAGAATTTTTGAGTCTTTTTGTTGTTTGTATTTTTTTTTTCCTATATGAAAAATGAAAAGATTAGGCCTCTCTCTGAGAGGACTGTTTTTTTTTTTTATCTTGGGGGCAGGTACCCAGCAGTCCCTGTTCAGAGATGACAAAACATATGTTTCACTAACTGTTATTAGAGATGGAAGATTGAAGGCTCTAGCTTACTGAAATTATTGCATATTTTTTTTGTATAGGTACCAAGAGAAAGTGTGCTAGCAAATATCCAGAGATGTTTCAGAAAGATTAGAACAGGCACTGGCTTTGCAATCTTACAGAGCTCTAAAACAAGGCACAACATGATAAATTATAATTCCCTGGTATTGTTTTAGATTTTTAATGTTGTGCCTTGTCATTACACCTAAACAGCTGTATTATCCGTAGTCCTGAATATATCATCTCAGAATGAAAATAGCATTTATGTCTTTATGCACATTTTGTTTTTATCAGATTGCTTACATTACCATCTGAAGTCAGAATCTCATGATGTAAATTTGGATACCTTTATACCTTTTCTTCAGAGAATATAGTTAAAATAGTAAGTAGATATTTGGAGTGCATAAGCAAGGGATAAGCCAGAGAGGAGGAATCGAGGAGGAAGTAGGGGAGAGGAACAAGTATGTTACTTGTTGCAGTTGATTTCATTGTATGAGGACTCTGATTCAATAGTATAGGTGGAACCAAGTCACTCTTTACCACTATTAGAATTTTTCCCACAATTTTCCTGCTTTAAGCAGTGTTTGACAGGAAGCTTATAACAACATTATTTGGAGGAAATCCCTGTCCAGTGTAATCAGGGTGTGATTCCTGGCTGGTAAGCACAAACCTGGGGCATTTTTATGTAGGTATTTCAAATCTGAGGAACATCCAGTGCATTTGCAAATTTGTCGTTCTACAGGTGTAACAATCACATACTCATGCCAAGACGGACAGATGACTGTTTTGTCTGTCACACTCTCTGTGATCCAAGACTTAACCTCTTACGAAACCAAAATCAGCCTCCAATTCCCCTGCTTTCTAATTCTGCATGACTAAGTCATTCAGTATGTTATAAATACTGTTGCTCATTCCAAATACATTGGGTACCTGTGCAGCAATCATTGTCAGCATACTCCTGTAGTAATGTGGAGTGGTTTAGCATTGGGCAACTGGCATAAATTAAAAACTTGAGTCACAGTATTGCCCTTTCTGCATACACCCACACATCTCTGTTACGTATGTGCCGCTTATGGGAGTTAGATGAATGACAGCAGCACCGCAAACGCCCTCCCAGCAAACAAGGAACTTGTACACACTCAGAAAATAGGTATCGATGCAAGATTTACATCAAAATAAGAGGAAGTGAAGAGTGCACAAAAGTATTTGTTTTATGTGGCTACAGGAATTTTCAAGAAATATTTTTCAGCTAGGGGATTGCGGTATAGAAGACAATGAAAATATGCTGGTGGTAAATTTTTGTCTGCTTTATGACTGAGGTGTGTGTCTTGATGTTTGCATGGCATTTTCCATCTTTGTGAATGAAAGACCTGTATTTTGGCTTAGGTTTTGCTGTAGGGCATGAAATCAGTCATTTTCCTGCAACTCCGCTGTAATTGCTCGTTATTCTTAAAGTACTTTCATGTTTAAGGACATATCACATTCCCTGCTGTTCTTCACAAATGATCTATAGAATAATAACAGTAAACTTAGGATTTGTAGAGGCTACATTTGTAGAAAAAGGTTCCCTGCACATACAGTTTTCTGCAGTTGAGTGGTGTTTAATTGCTGCACCTGCAATTACTTCTGGGTGTAGCTCAGGTTGCTCAGATGTCTAAGAACTTGATCGTGCTGATGTATCAAGCATTTTGGCATCAAAGTACTGTGCCTTATGCCTTCACACAGCAGCACCCAGAAAATTGCAGGTGTACCAGAAAAGGTTGGCTTGAAAACCAGGTCCTTGCACTTTACAAAAATGTTGGCTGAAACAGGGTAACAGGCCATGAAGAAAATTCTATTAGATGAATAATTCCTTTTCATCCACCTCAGGCTGTGTCGTGCTGAATGTGAAGTCCCTCTCCTTGTTCTGTTCAGTTACCATTTACTTGGAAGGGCACATCATTCTTTGGGCAGCTTAATGCTTTTGTAACCTGCTCAGTTGCCTTGTGTGGCTCTGAATCTTTCATCTGGTGGTAATACTTGCTGAGCACGCGGATGTTCATGCATTCAGGTGGCTCACAGTAAATCTCAAGTCTTATCTCTTCATAACTCTGTGCATCTCGGCTCAGACTGTAACCTGAGCTTTCTCAGAAGTGTTCAGCTGTGGCTTAGTCTGTCTTCCTGCTGCAAGGGGGAGATTTATGCTTTTTTCAAGGAAAGCGGAGAGGTCGGTGCTTAGCACCTTTGGAAATCCTCCCTTATTCAGTATCTTCTAATCATGGAGAAAATCAAGAGTTGGGGAGATTGTGGGTTCAACTCCTGCACAGCTTTGAAGAGCCTCCAGAATTTCACCAGTCTTAACTCGTCCCTTGGCATGCCGGGGAGGCTGTGGTTGCGCTCGGCAGGTATTACTTTCCCTGGATCCCAGAAGCAGGATTTGTTATACTCAGCCACCTCCCAAAATCTCCCTCTGTCAGTGCACTGTTGCTGGCAATTAGATTTAACATGCTGAAAATAAATTGAGGGTCTTGCTGTCTTAGAAAATCATATTGAGTGCGATGTGGTATTATTGCTACTTTTCTTTCATGCCTATAAATCTTCACAAAAAATATATGGCCCCTTTTATCCCCAGCAAGAGATAAATAAAAAGAATCTGAGGTTTTAAAAAATAAATGCATACAATGTTATCACTTTCCATTCACATGTGTTTATATTTCCCTAGCTGGGCAGCTTTCACTGTTGTCCATCCTGAATTCAAAAATATAAAGGGAGGCTTGCTAAGGTGTTTTATTTCTTTTCGCAGTATTTCTGGCTTCTTGTGCTCTCACGAGGTTTGGTTGGCATCGGTGAAGCAAGTTACTCCACTATTGCTCCAACCATCATCGGAGACCTTTTCACCAAAAACACAAGGACCCTTATGCTGTCTGTTTTCTACTTTGCAATTCCTCTTGGCAGGTAGGTAGCATAATGCTTTTTTCATCTGCTTTTGGCTTTTCTTTTAAAGTTAGCTCACACAAATCTTAAGTTGTTAAAGATGATAGTTGTTCTGTCTTTGGTTGGAACGATTTAGACAGGAAAATATTGTCAGAAGTGACTAATTAGTTGCAGGAATTGAATTATTTTTTCTAGCCCTGTTACTCGTTCACGTGTGACTTTTGGGAACTAGCGGGAAGGATTTATTTATTTTTTTACAGAAATTGGGTGGGAATGGAAACAAAATATTTTAACCGACTTTCTTGGAGCATTATTAAACTAAGCTATCAATTTGAATACTATTATATTTGTTCTGAACTGGTGCTTCAATTCATTTGAGATCCATCCACTGTGGATTGAAAGGTCAGCTATGAACTTGAGATCAGTGTCCAATATTCCATTGGATTTCAGCATTTTTAGACCAACAGTGCTGGGAAGAGTTACATATTAGCTGCTGTCCTCTTCATCCCCCATGTTTCTTCCCGCAGGAGAAGAGACTAGAACACACAATTGATTTTGACTGTTTTTATCTTTGCTTAAGAACAGCTGTGATTATGGTACTCTATTAAAACTCAGACTGATTCTCATCCTTTCATCACTTGCAGTGGCTTGGGATACATCACTGGATCAAGTGTGAAGCAAGTTGCTGGAGACTGGCACTGGGCATTGCGGGTAAGCCAGTCTCTTGGTGTGACATTCACATGCACGTTTCCATTTTTGAGCTTATAACGTGGACCATCCACAAGCAAAAAGTGCTTGTTGGGATTTTTCCAAATCCTTCAGCTCTTCAATGATAAAGATAGCTTGAAATTCAAAATGTTCCTAAAAATGCATTATTTTTTTTTATTATTTTCAAAGTATGTATTTTTGTTTATTTTTCCTCAGTAAAATTGCACATTGTGAACACTGAATTCACCTTCAATAAGCACTAGCCTGGCTTTGGGCCAGTTCGTAGGAAACTTTACTGAGTCTTACATATCAGTTTTAATAACATCTTAATAACAGCTGTATCAGTTGATCAGTGTTAGAAGAGTTCTATCGCACAAATCCCCAACCTGTTATTATATACACTGTTATATAGAGACAGTAAAGGATTGGAGATTAACGCCTGTGGATATTAAGTGCATAGCAGATGCATTCTCTAAGCAAATTGGAAAGGTATGTGGTTTTGGCTCATTGTACTTGTTTTTCTCCCTGCTTGGGAGCAAGAATTTTCCAATCACTTTATTATCAGTCAGCCATGGTTTCTTGATGAGTTTGGGAAGAAGAGGCATTGGCCTTAAATCAACTCCACAGTCTTTCAGGCCCTTGCTGTCAAGAAACTCTGAGAATGGCTTCCTGCTTTGAGGAAAAAACACTTTGTTCCAGTTTCCGCTTGTTTTTCTGCCCTGAGACAGTCGGTTTCCTTCTACTTTAACCTCTTGGGACCTTGATAAATGTGTTGAAAAGATAATACATTCCAATCACATACACACAAACAGATCCTGCACACAAAGATGTCTTGAAAGAGCTGGCAGGAAGCAGCCCAGCAGAACTGTTTTCTGACCTTTGGCAGTCTGGGTGGCATGTGCCCCAGTGAGTTGCATTCTCTGGCTTTGGCACTTCATGAGGACAATGAATCTCACATAGCCCAGGCCAACCCCATTTGTAACAGCAGGTGATGAAATACGTGGGTTCCCATCTCAAGTGAATGTTCCTTTCTGTGGCACGGACAATTGCCTGTCCAGCAAAGGTAAGAAAAGCCAGGAAAGTCACTGTGAACAGTTCATTTGCACCTAGGAGAGTTTCCATCTGTCAACCTGAAATGAAAAGAATTAGGTTTAATAACCTAAAGCTTCAGACCAAGACAGTGCCTGCCTCATTCAATAGCTTTAAGGGTAATATGAACTTTTGAGCAAAGGTTAACACAAGGGAAGATAAACTCCAAAGCCCCTTCTCCCAGTCATATTGTCTGATTTTTGGGTGGTCTTGTGCAGACCCAGGAGTTGGACTTCATGATCCTTGTGGGTCCCTTCCAACTCAGGATATTCTATGGTTGTATGATTTAATGATTTATCTTGGACCACTCTTCTATCTGTAAAATCCAAATAATTAGTTTGTACAAAGAAATCATCACTAGCGCCTTTCTGTTTGGTTGAAGTCTCCATAGTTATCCTGAGAAATCCAGACAGTCTGCAAGGCTGTACCCCTTATGGGATCTTGATTTCCACCGTAAATGACACATGGATGCACGATTCCCTGACTGTGTGAAACTGTGGGAAACTGTAAGACAAGCTCCATACTTCCGTGAGTGTTTCTTAGGACAGGATTGCTTAGTTTTGTTAGTCAAACAGCACATGTCGAAAGCTTCCAGACATCAGCATAAAGGAGCCTCTGTTCTTTTGGCAATCGTTGAACTCCTGCAAGATGTACTAGATTTGCCAACGTGATGCTTCCCTCTGTGATGCCCTGTGGCACCCGGCTCTGGAGGAGGTCAGGAATACTCAATGGGCTGAAGAAGGCAGAAGGGCATTTTGGCTAGGGGCAACTTTGTCTCTGGATCTAGCACTAATGGCAGTGTTTTGCTGTAACATTGCTGAGTATCAACGGATATTGTCCTGTCAGGGGAGTAAGCCTCCAGATAAAAATCAGAGACTTGAAATTGTATGGCTCTAGAAAATAACAGCATTTCCTTTGTTTGTTTGTTTTGTTTAACAGTGCTAGTGTCTTCTGTTCAACTGTGATAAGAGTACTGTATTGAGCTTCATTTGTCCCTGGATGAGGAACATTCCTAGCTTTCCAGTTCTAAAATATTTTTTTGGTCTTCCATTACCTTCCCTAGAAGAGTTCTGGATTTGTCTTCTTTGGGCATGTAATATATCTCTATGTGTAAAGACCATTTTCAGGTTATTATTGGAAGCATATTTTTAGGAACAGGAATTTTATTTTGAAAATAGCATGTACAGAAGAGATAATAGTTCACTGAAAGTCCATGTTTATTTTCCTAAAACCATTTTCCATGTTAACAATAATGGAATTTCAGTGTCAAAATGAGAATCACATTCATAGCTTGTAAAACACTGTGGAATGTTTGCATTTTTGTCTAGTGATTGACAGAAGGGATTGGAAACTCGGAAACCTAAGTCTTGAATGTGTCATTTTTCTGTCTTCCAGCTTGAATTTTCATTGTTTCTTAGTCTGCTGCACACTGAGGTAATCACTGAAAGCTGCCTGAAAATGAGAAATCATTGCAGATTAGATGGAAGACCACAGAAAGGGTTGCATGTCAAGCAAGGATTTTCAAAACCAACATGCTCCCCAGATCCAGAAATCTTTCATCTGGGTTCATTGTCCATAAGAGGCTTTTAAACTGTCGCAGAAATTAGTTGGTCTCTTAGCCCAGCTGGGTGCAGGTTTCCAAAGAGTTAAACATCACCCAGAATCTTGGTACTGTAATTACACAAATAAATGGACTGCCTTACCTCAGAGTATTCTCAAAGCTTCATGCTTGTGAAGTGAGATAAGAGAGTCCCAGGAATGACAGGGAGGAAGGAAAGGAGCAGATGCCTCAGTGTGCTCACAGATTCTGGATAGCCATAAAGAGCTGGGTTGCTGAAATGAAACTAATGTAATCTGTTTCTTACTGACTAGTCAAATCAAACACTGCTGACTTCCTGACTTCCTGTGCTATTTTCCTGTTCCTTTCTCACAGGTATCTCCACTCCTAGGAATGATAACAGGGACACTCATCTTGATATTTGTACCCGCTGCTAAAAGAGGAAATGTTGAACAACTTGGGGGACAGCTGAAGGCTCGGACCTCATGGCTAAGAGACATGAAGGCACTGATAAGAAAGTAAGAACACCCTGCTAATGTATGCTTTGCCTCTACTGCTTAACGTGAACATCAAATGGCCTGTACTTAACACTGTGGGGTTGGAAGGTGGCATCATGCAAGGAGTTGCAGAAAATTCGGTGTGTGGGCCTAGGAAAGAAAATCACAGTTATCACTGGATGTTGACTGTGATGACAAAGATGAATTCCATCTTTTGCTCTAACTTTTGCAAGATTCAGATCTAAGAGTCTGCTTTGTTTGGCTCATATGTCAGACTAATTAAGGCTTTTGAAGTGTAGAAATTGCTGTGTTCCTGTATTAATTGTTGTGTCACTGTTGTTCAGATGTCCTTTTATATCCTTTTATATGTCCCTTATATCAATTTTCTTCCTTGAAAAAGCTACTCTGCTGAGTGGAGAGTTCAATTCCAAAGCAATTTAAGAGGAGAAAATACACAAAAGCTTGCACTACATGGCAAATTAAAATATATATATATATATATAATATATATATAACCACATGTGACTGCATGTACATAGAATGTGGTTGGATGCTTGTATATCTGCATAAAAGATCACACGCTTATGAGTTTTTAAACAGCTGCACTTGCTTCCAGAATGCTTGCCTTTGAATGTGCAAATATTTGTGTGTGTAAATTCAGTGTTACCTTGGAATTCTGATGTAAAACCTGTGGTGTCCTCCATTCTTAGAACTGCTGGCTAGGATGTCTTCCTGGTGTTGTCACACAGTACCAAAGGGCTATGAAAAGTGGTGATTGTTAATTTATTGGTATTTTTATGTTACTTATTTTGGTGGTTTATCCAAGTAGCAAGCATATAGTAACCTGGAAATAACTTGGATGGGGAGGGAGAGGTGGAGCTGGTAATTTGGGTAACCAGGTGATATTATGGTGGTAGTGCTGTAATTCACACATCACATTTTAGTGATTAAGTACTGATCGTCTCCTGAAAGGGTCCCAAAAAAGTGGTCCCTTTGAAGCACCTCTGAAGAGTTAAGCACATTATTATCAATAAAAAATCATATTTGAAGAAATATTTCCTGCTTCTTCTTCTCCATTTCTTTGTACCTCGTGTTATCATTGCCCCTTGGCAAAGGGAGGTGAGTAGTGGGTCATCTCCTGGTGCCCTCGCTCTTTCAGTTTTCCTTCTAACCCTTCTCCTGGTTTTGCCTCTCGTGTCTCCACAGCCGCAGCTATGTGTTCTCCTCACTGGCCACCTCAGCTGTCTCTTTTGCCACTGGGGCGCTCGGCATGTGGATCCCTCTCTACCTTTACAGAGCACAAGTTGTGCAGAAGACTGCAGAGACTTGCAACGCGCAGCCCTGTGGCACCAAAGATAGGTGAGGTTCATACACCACTGCTTTAAAGAGGGGGGAGGGAGGGTGGGGGCTTATTTACCAGAGGAAACAGGCAAGTCCCATGGAGTCAAGTCACTAGAATGTCTGTAATTTCCTGTAGATCCTTGCAACAATGATAGGAAATGCTGGGATTGTAAACTGGGTTTTATTTCTCTTCTTTTCTTCATTGCATGAAGTCAAACCAAGGCAGAAGTGATGACCTCAGCTCAGTCTTAGTTCCCAGGCTACTGTACAGAAGGAGAAAAAAGACAGCTGTCTTTGCCTCAAAAAATGGTTGGAGAACTGAGAGAGAATGAGGTTTCTTAAGACCCATACTGATTTCTATGATAGCAGTGGAATCAGCTGGTGTGTCAGGGTAGCCAAGGTAGTGGCTATAATTCAGGGCTTGGACTGGTTCCCCTAAAGGCTGCAGGAACTAGCCCCGAAGGCTTTTATTTCTGTGAGAGGGAGGACTTCACTGTGTTTCATCGCTCTGTATACTACTGTGTATACTGAGTTTTGCTGAAGAATGGTGCAAAGATCTGGGAGACTTTGGTTTGGATTGCTTGATGTTACATGGTGTGTTTTTTCAGAGCCAGTGATATAATGTAGCTTGCAGCACATATGCTGTGAGAAGTAATTCATTGTTCTGTGCTTTACCATAATAGCACAGAGCATAAAATGCTAACAAAAAATAAATGTATTTCTCCAGGTGAATAAAAGATATGAAAAACTGCCTTTTGCCAGCTCTTTTGCTTTTTAGCTTTTGAGGGAAGAATAACATTAGGAAAGCCTTCTTGCTCTAGCTGACACAATCTCATCACAGGTAAACTACTTAGTGGTTTGGAGTACCATCGACTAGAGCACCCAGCGGGCAGCCTCGCTCTGTTCTGAAAAATGCAGTGAGCAGAAAATACAGCTCCAGTCAGACTGCCCATCTGCTGTTCACAAAGACAAGTTTTCCACTCCTTGATGACACCTATATTTTGAGCTACCCCAGAGCTACTTTCATGTAGTTGCCAAAGACTGTAGCCTGAGTCCTGCACATACAATAGTGAGAAACCTTGACAGCTCCTGCTCTTGAATTTCAATAAATGCATTTTGTATGTGTATTACAACAGCAAAATAATCTAATCAGCCTTCTTTGAAATGGGCTGGAAGGAGTTAGAAAATTGCTGTTGTTTGTTGTCTTGTTAGGTTTCCATTTCCTTAAGCTTCCAAGTGCCTGCTCTGTCCATGATTTCCCTTACATGATCATTGTGCAGGTTATTACTTATTTTTTTTTGTACATAATTAGCTATACAATGCACTTTGTAGGGAGCTAAGTTCCACACAAAGAAGCAGTATGAGCCCTCTGCATCTCTGTGATCAATGCCCTTGTACAAGGCTGAATTTTATCTGCTGTTTTCCGTAATTTCAGGGGAAGGGTGCTGCAAACAAACACTCAGGATGTAGCTCATTTGTTTTATTTTAAACATGCAAAGCCAATATCCAGATTTTCATCAGCCAGTTTACCCTACTAATTTGTTCATAGGTCATTCCCATTTTGGGGAAAAAATCCAGAAAAATAACTGACTCTCTCTCTCTCTTTTTTTTTTCTTTAATAGCTTGATCTTTGGAGCAATCACATGCTTCACCGGTTTCCTGGGTGTTATCACAGGAGCTGGGGCAACCAAATGGTGCCGCTTAAAAACCCAGCGAGCTGATCCTCTTGTCTGTGCTGTTGGCATGCTGGGGTCAGCCATCTTCATCTGTCTGATCTTCGTTGCTGCCAAGAGCAGCATTGTGGGAGCCTATGTAAGTATAATCCTTTGCATATGTCAGTCTTCTGTCTACCAAACACCTTAGAAGATTGAGTGCATTGTCCCCTGCAGGAAGGCTTCGATGTTTTTCCCACTCTGAATGTCCTTCATTTTTCCCCTTGGCATATTGGCACTGTATAGATGTGCTTGGAAGGAAAATGTATTTCACTGTTTATCCCCTCTTACTGTCATCAGAATTTAGACCTGGGCATTTAGCTCTTGCATAGAAACTCCCAGTTCCCTGCCTTTGGGTTGTTCTCTCTGTGCCTCTATCCATAACGCTATTGCTCTTGCCTAATGGTTTGGTGCAGGAAAATTGGCAGCTTCCCTTACAATAAGGGTTTTGTAGCAGCAGTGATACCGAATTGTAATTACAATATAACTTGTCTGTGGGCACGCTTTTGGCTACTTGTAAGTACCATTAATTTCCATAACTAAGTAGCTTGCTGCAAACCAACAGTAATTACCATGTAAGTTCAATTTGTTTTTGTTTTCTATATTACCATAGCACCTGAAATTCTAGTCACAGTGCAGGAATACACAATACTTGATGCTGCACAAATGCAGATTTAAACAATGGTCCCACCAGAGCATTTATAACCTAAAGATATAAAAAGACATCAGATAGTTCCAGACAAATAGTGTGAAGGGAGAAGGAAAAACTCAAGATAAGGTATAATAACCTGGTATGAGGTATTAGTCTTGCTTTCAGGAAAGAGTGGAAATCCAGTACACTGAACAGCTCTCAGGTTCTCTTTCAGTGTAATAGAGAGAAGCTTGATAACTTTTTGAAGGGACAGCTTGAGATGGTTTGAGTAGTGGGATAATTTCCAAAAGCCTACCCTAGTCTCCACACAGCAGCGCACACTTCAGCAAGCAATGAGAATTCGTTTACAGTTAATCAAACAAACCATCTATTGCAGTTCCTCGCTTCTCTGTATTTCTAGCACTAGCGTAGCCACGGTTATTTTCTAGGTATTTGAATAGCTGCCATCACAACAGGGGAACACAAGAAGAAAGAACGGAAGTTTAAAAACATGCACACAGAACCAAGAATGCCTACTCTGGCTATTCAGAAAGTGTCAGGACCTCTGGCTCATGGCATGGCCTACAGCTAACCTTTGATTCAATGATCAGCAGAAAAATGACCACCTGGGACAACCTGTAAGAGGGTGTTACTGGTTGGCAAAACATTAGCCTTTCCTTTATTCTCAGCTGTCTCCAAAAGAAGAGATCTGTCAGATCCCACTGCCTGCCCCTCCCCTCCACTTCTTTGTGCAGTCAGACCTGTGATTTTCTCCTTTGCCAGCCCTGATGACAGACATGTTCATTTGTGGTGCTTAGTCTCTTTATGCAGAAAGCCCTCCCTTTCTAAGCTGGAAATACTGTTTTCAAAAAATGTGCAATGAAAGGTGGTTATTGGTCTCATTTTCTCTCTTCTTCTTCTTTTTTTTAATTCTCAAGACAGCAGCTTTTTAGCTTCCATATTTCCATGTGACTATTCCGCATTGTGTAAATATATAAATATAGATGGTATCATTTAACCAGTCTTAGAAACAATTTATTTTATGATGCATGAGCAGTAAATCTAATAAAGAGTCAATGATGTGCATTGGAAGCTCTATCTGCATATGGAGGGGGTATAAAGAATATACACCTATTTGCTGATGCTGTTAGGCTGATGCGTACATTTGTTGCAGGTAACACTGTCTCTCTGTAGCCCTAAATATGCTTTCTCTGCTGCTAGAAAAGTATTGCATGTAAAGTAGATAAGAGAGCCTAGTTAAAGTACCAAATCCAAATGGGGAATCAGAGATCTGAACTCTCTTTATAGATTCTAGATGTGGTGGGGGTAAGTTATTTGTTTTACCTCTGCAAAATGAGGATTCTCAACTTACAAACTTACCTTGGATCATTATTGATTGTAAATCACCTGAAGTTAAGAGATCTGTGGATAAGCAACTCACTATAACATTATATAAGAAAAAAAAAAAAAAGTGACACAACATCTGCTATTGATGGTGTTTAGTGTTACAGGTGCTAACCCCCCTGAGAGAACAGGTCTATTTTGGAGCTACCAATGTCTCATCGCACAAGGTATTACCATGGTGGTGCTATATATCAATTGAATTGACTTTTCAAAGCAAGTTTCAAACATGAGCCCTTGTTTTTCCACACCATTTAATGTTATTGCAATCATACAGACACTTGAGTGTTTAATTCCTTTTATTTCACTGGGAGACCTGTTTTGCAGGCTTGCATGGTGTAGCAGTGCCTCTACAGTTAAAACCACCTGTTATAAGTCTCATAGGTCTAAAATGCAGCAGGCTTTGTTCTCTGACTCTGAAGTTGGAAACCCCAGATTTGATGGACAACATGATAGATTAGGTTACCCTCCTTATCTCAAAATCCACGACAACAGCTTGTTCTGGAAAGGATAAGGTACAAGTTGTGGGTGGCTTTTCTCGTCTCTGATAGCTTCCTTCATAGCTGTATTCTGGCTCTCATCCTGAAACAAAGCTTTCATCCTGAAACTCATCCTTGAGTTCTGTATGACCATGAAAAGCAAGAGTAATGTTCCAGTCAGCTCCCCAGCATGGTGCTATTTCCCCACCTTCTGTACCATGACTGCCCTTAGACTTCTGTCACTGGTCATACCATGCTAAAATCAAAGTTACTGCATTTGGATCTCTCTTTGTTTCAGAGCATTAAAATGATCACTTCCAACATTTAGATAGCTGGACTTGGAGTTTAACCTCAAACATAAAGGTCCATAAGAGACCAAGAACTGCTTGGCTTGTTTGTTTGTTTTTTGAAAAGACCTAAGGTGTGGCCACCTTGCCCCTTACACGCTGTCAGCTCTCTGCTGTCTTCCTCCCCTCCCATGCATATGTTCTTCCTCCTGCACGGCCCTGTCTTGCAGGTGGTTTTGGTCCCCGAGGGCAGCTTCTATTCCTCTTCCATAGCAGTCCCTCCTCCTTGGAGCAGATAGACAGACTTCTTTGTTTATCCCATCTTTTCACATTAATCCAGTAAATGACTGGCTGGCAGCAGTAGAGTGCCTGGAAAGGTAAAATAAAACAGCGTTCTGTATCATTTAGCTGTCCAGACACTTGTATTTCTGTCTTTATACTATCTTGCTTTGCTGTATAGTGCAAACAGTTCTTACTCTGTTTTCCTTGCAGCATGTGTTCTAGTGTCTTGTATTGCAGCTCCTTAAAGCAGCAATTTGTATATCTTCCGGTCTCACTCTTTCTGAAATGTGTGTTCTTTGAAATATTGGTTTTCAAACCTGTCTCTTGAAACCCATTAGCTGGATGGCATCATTGTATCATACTGCTCAGACGTTTCAACAGCGTATTTTAGACTGGTTTCAGTCTCCAGGTGATTAGAGAGATATGTTCTGCCTCCTTTTGACAGTGTTCCAAGCTCCTGTTGTACCTCAATTTCAGCATTCATTTCAATTCCTCAAAGACATTTCATGATCTTGCACAAACAACAGCTCCCAGGCTAAGCCCTTGCCATAGAGTTTTTACAGCATCTCAGTGTCAGCTCCAGGGAGCTTTCTGTTGACATGGTGTTGGTGACTTATCTGCTTCCGAGGCATCAATATTGCCCAACACTGGGATGGAGTTAGGCTTGCTTCAAATTGAAGAGTACATGTGGGAGTCTGAGCCACCATTTCAAAGAGAACTTCAAATACTGAAGATGTAGACAGATACACACACTTTGCAAATAGCCATAGAGGGAGTTTATAACCTACTTAGATCTTGCTGGGAGAGCTGCTGGTGTGACAGCTCTGAAGTCTACTTTACTTATCATTTTTTGGAATCAGAATTTGCTAACTCTGATCACATAAACAGAAAGACTTCAGGGGGACTGAACTTCTATCGGCTTATCAAAGACGAGCAACTGGATACCAAAAGGAGATGGTGAGATATTATACAACACAGCTGGATTCAGAAGATCTATCTCTGCAGCTGAAATCTCACTGTAAAATGATGGTTCTAAAAGTGTGTGAGGAGTTAAACCCATGGCCATTTCAGGAGCTATCGATCTGTTCTGGAGGCTGCCCTATTTGCAGTAAGCATCCCTAGAGCCTCTCCAGCAGAAATGCTGCATATCCTCATATGCCCTTTGTGGTGGATGAACTCATTTTTACAAATCCCCATTAGCAGCCGACTCTTTTTTTAATGTCAGTATCTTTTGTCCTACTTTTTGATCTTCCTCTTGTTCCTCTTTTTCTTTTACCAGTATCCACATGAGGCACGTGTTTCATGGAAGAGCGTTGGGCGAAATGCACGCTCAATAATTCAGGTCTGGTGCTCTGAAGTTTGTAACATTTCAGTGATTCATAGGACTTAGGCTGAATTCGTGCAGAAGAGGGCAAGTTTTACTTGCTGTGTGTAACAGCTTCTGTGTGTGTGTGTAACTTATATAACCTTAAGGCAAGCAGTTGCCTGTTTCCAGTGTTTTATGAACAGGCAGGGCATGTCGATGCTGCTTTCAGGAGTGTGATAACATCTTTTCCCAAGCTCGGTTTAATCTCTCCAGCTGCGGAACTCCAGCAACAGTGGCTGCAAAGCTGTGATAGGGCAGATTTCAGTGCAGGTCAGGAGAGCCCACCTGGGATCTGGGATGCCCTTGCTGCATGTCACTTAACTTCTGTTGACACCTTCATTCTTTGGCTCTGTCTGTCTTAGCTCGGCAGTTCAGCCGAGCTCAAGGCAGAGCAGTGGACAGTGGGAAAATGGAAAGAGAAGACTTCCTAGCCCAGCAGCTGGGCCGTAACTGGCTCAGACACCATCACAGAGGAAGCAGGTCCAGTCACTGAAAGAGGGGATAGGGAGGGGGAAGGTATGGGAAACAAAAATAATTTTAGAAACAAATAGAGGAAGAAGCTTTCTGTAGGTCAGTGCGTAAGTGTTGCTAAATAAAGCTGTCTATTCCTGGCAGTGACATGGTGGTCGGAGGGCTATAGGCGATCTCGAGCAGGGTGTGGGAAAGGAGACTGCTGTAGTCACGTCAGACCAACCATAGGCACGGATCTCTGAGTTCCTCCTCCCACCCCAAACTGCTCCTGTGCAAGCAACGGGGGCTGGGTTGGGGCTGTGAGTGTCAGAGCTTGCAAAGAGAACCACAAAATGACATCCATCTGAATGCTTCCTCAGAGCAAAGTGTGTTGTGTATTTCTTGCTGCTTTTGTTTCATCAATGTATTGTACCCAAGTCAACATAACAAAAGCTGAACATATGGTAAATAAAAGGGGAATCTTCGGTTACCTGAATCCAAACCTCCATAGCTGCTAATCTCCAACTGCCAGAAGGGATTGCAGAAGGAAGGTTTTCTCTCTAGATATAACAACAACAAAAAGCTGGGGGTGAGGTGGGTTAGCTGGGCAAAAAGCAACCTTTGGGAAATGTCCAGTAAAGGTTTTTTCTTGCCTCCTTACTGGAGAGGAGCAAGTCTGATTATTTAAGCAGCGTTTCATCTATGTGCTCTTCATAATACACAAAGGAAGATGGCAATGTGTGTCTGGAAGATTTTCTGTCCTTTTTTGTTGTTCTGTTGACCCTACTTTTCTTTGTTAAATTGTTAACCTACAGCATAAAAGCAAAGGGTCGACAACTGAAATACAGGGAAAAAGTTTTCTGATGTGGGCAGTGTTCCCCTTGAAATTGTGTCACCTTAGCTCTGTTGGGCTCAGTTTGTTGAACATTTCTTTTAATGATGAGGCCAGGTTAAATTAGTTTCTTCTCTTGGTGATCACTTCCAGTTCTTCAACTGCTCTAACTGTTTGCAGAACCATTTAGTGAACTGCATCAGGGAACTGACTTGAGTTAAAAAGAAGCAAAACAAGCCCCTTTTCCACCACCTCCCCCTCAAAAAGAGATTCTTTGCTTCGTAGCAGTTTTCTGATCCAAATCCCTGCTTGGCCCCATTGTACAAGCACAAGAGAGAAGGCAGCTTGGGGATGGGAGTAAGCGAGGAAGGGCTGCCAGGGGTGGAAAGGGTGCGTGGTGGCTGTTTATACCACACCACCTCAAAAAGAAGCTCTCATCCCACTACGTACATAGGGCTTTTAATGTACATGTATTTTGTTGACAGTCTCCACAGAGTCAAGAGTTGTAGCTCACTACAAGACAGAGGTGTTGCAAAGCCCATACTTAAGTCCTGTCTTAAGTGCACCTAGATATTAGCAACTTAAAACTTGTTATAGTGGCTAGACTTATGTCCCCCTCAAAAAGGACAATACACTAGCAGGGGAGGGCAGGAATCTTGCATGTGGTGGGTATTTGGTTTGCTAGAGTTTAACAGAGAACTTGGTGCCTAGTGAAGAAAAGGACTGTTCTGGGGAGCTGGGGCTTTCTGGCTTCTCTAACTGACCTTTGGAAACGATGATTTCAGCATGGAAGTCCAGGGCTGTCGCTTCTGTTTGGCTTCTCGTCTTCATCTGTTACCAGAGGTGTCAGCCTTATATTTATCTGTCCTGTAGATCATAAACAGTTTATACTAATGAAGCTGCAGGCCAACCCTCTCAGGGCTCAGATAAACATCGATAGGTTTCTGGTACTCGGGATAACCACAACATGAACCAGAAGTGGATTGTGTACAGAAGAATCCTTTGAATGGGTTTGAGACAAATAAGCGACAAAGTAAAGTTTGTGACAGGTTATTTTTCCCTTAAATGTCAAGTGAATAAATCTTCTCCTTTTTGTGTGTTTTGTTACAACAGATTTGCATTTTTATTGGAGAAACTCTTCTGTTTTCAAACTGGGCTATCACAGCAGACATACTAATGGTGAGTGTACCTTGGAACAGCATCTTTCTCTTCTGGGGGCCAGAGCAGTTTGTCAGCTTGCAAGAACAACCTGAAGTTCACATCTTCATTTAAATGCCTAGTCCCTAGTTCAGCCTATTCTATGTTTGTCTTTTATTTATTTAATTATTTATTTATTTATTTTACTTGCTGAAAAGGAAAGTGAGAGAAAAAGAAAAAAAAATTGCTTTTGCTTTTTCCTGAGCACCAAGGTGAGGCATTGTCCATAAGGCATAAGGGACACCATTACTGGATTCAAACAGTTTCCCCAAGTGTGAAGTATTTTCATAAAATCCCACATGTAAAGAACTCGGTCAGCATTTCCTAATAGCACATTAGTAAATTTTGTTATCAATAACTTGGCTTTGTTCTGTAATAGGAAATCCTTCCCTCCCTCCCTCTCCTGACCACAAAGGCAGCCCTCTACCTCTCTCCTTGGCTTAACTCCAGTAAACCTAGCATTCAACACATACACAATAGAAAACCTCTGGGAAAGAAGAGAGGAAAAGAAAGTATAAAGAATTTTTGGACTACGTCCACCTTGTTCTAGAGGAAACTGTCTGGGATTTTTCACCTCGTGTCCTTGTCCTTCATTTTCCATTCTCTCCCCACCATAGTGCTTCCTAAGTCTTACAAATCAGCAGGCTGATGTTAGCAACTAGATTTTTGTCTGAAGTAGTCTGCATGTTTGCTAAAGAGCCTTGCATGTTTGCTGATGCTGCCATCAGAGACGTACAGAGCCTTTCAAATACCTTGAAATCCCATTGTGAGGGAGGTTTCTTGTTGCTTATTGTTTGATAAAGAAGGAAACTAGGGCACAGAACCATTACAGGACTTGCCCGAGGTCTTTTGGCAGGTTGTTGACTAAGCTAAAAATACAATCAGTCTGGCATCAATAGAAAACTCCCTTGACTTGTATTTGTTGCTTATGCAAACATCAACAAGAAAGCAATCCGGCTCAGTGTTTCTAGATATAAAGATACTGGGGTTGATACATTGATTCGGCAAGAACTTCAAGCTCCTGCTTAAATTCTGTTTGTGGTTTAAGTTCAAGGTTGTGTTTATATTTTAAGATGGCTCTGTAGCTGCCGTAATTGCATTGCCTGATGATCCTTCAGTCTTTCACTCATTTGTGCAGAGAGCACTGTGAAGTAGGGCAGTATGGTTAATGTCACAGCTCTTGGGTAAGAATAAGGCACAGAAGCAAAGGTTGTCAGTACACCTCAGGACTGTTAGAAGGCTTTTAATTTCTCAGGTTTGCTCCTCCTACCAATCTAGCTTTACTGTGTTAGAGCTCAGCGTAGGCCGAGCAGGTGTTTACCCTGTACTCACATTGGTTTTGCAGCTTGTGCTGATTTCAAGGCTGTCGCTGCCGTTCATTCAGTGGTATCTCAACATTTAGACAGATGTGCCTTCTCCAGACAGCTGTGCTGAGGAAGAAATTATAGTACAGTATCTGTAGCTGCTCATTACTGCCTCCTGCCAGAGCTTTCTGTCACATCCTGTCTTTGGCAATGAGATTCACAGGAGTGCTCACAATTCTGCTCAAAATTAGCTTGTGTTGCAGATCTGTTGTATCCTCCCTGGCACTGCCTGAAAGAGGTAAGGGGCAGGCCATGGAGCACGTCTGCAGTCCTCCAGCAGTGGCTCTCAAAGAGCAGCTCAGGTGGCAAACGCTGCTGTCAGCAAGGCTCCGCTGGATGAAGGGGATCTGCTCGACACGTTCAAGGTCCTGCATAAAATCTGTGCCAGAAAGAGCTGAAACTTGACCTCTGTTGTCTCAAGCTAACCCCAGAAGACATTCTTCTCCCAGACAATTCATTATATTGAATGTACCAAGGATGCCATCGTTATTCCATTTTAATTACTGAGCTTTTTTGTGTTGATTTCAATGTGACTTTGGTATCCTGTAGCTTTTTAATAGCTTTTATAGGTTTGCCATCTGTTTTGTATGAGCAGCATCATATACTCAGTTGCATTTTGCACGGTTGCATTTGCAGTTGTATATATTGCTCTAGTGCAAAAAAAGAAAAAAAAAAATCCCCCTTAAGAAATGATTGGAAATAATTGGAAAAATCTTCTTAGTTCCAATTCTGAAAACACAAGAAGGAAACAAAAGGCATGTTAAAAACTGGATTTTGGTAATTGATGCCAACTCTTAAGTTAGCTGTTCTCTTGCCTGTTCAGACAAATGAACTGGAGTGTCGTATCTAATGCCCAGCTTAATGCACTATCAGCATGAGTAGAACTGTAAAAGTGCCATCCAAATAAATGTAAACGTCCACTTAGATCAATGCAAGCCTGTAAGCAGATGGTCTGAAGTACGTTTATGTTACACAAGGGGTTTGAGAGGATGTTTTGTCAGACAATAGGTGAGAGCCAGGGCTATAGCCATGTTTGACAGACAGCTCTGTAAGAAGTTCTAGCCAGAGAAAGGTGTGGATATGCTTCTGTGAGATGCACTTTAAATGTTTTGCAAATTAATTTCTACTGATTACTATTTATTTGGTGTAATCAGAAGTGTGTCTGTTCTTGCCTGAGGCTGGTAAGGAGTTTAAAAGCATTATTAGTGTAAGCCTAACAACACTTTAATCATATACATAAATATTATCTTATTTTCATAGACAAAAAGCTTTCAATACTGGCTGATTTCAGTGAGAGCAGGCTTATGCCAGAAGCGAGGGTTTTGGTAACTGCATCCCAAGTGATTTATCATAGCTCTCCCAATATTTGTAGATCTCACAACTGCTAAGAGCCCTATCTGGCAAGTTGGTAAGCACCTTCAGAGGTTTTGCAAGTTTAATTTCCTTGGCAAAAAGAAGGATGTTTGCTTCGTATCTTCAAACTTAATTGTTGGCTCTTCACAGATTCGTGCTTCCATTGCTCTTCTGTTCTTGCCAGTGTGGCAGCCTGTCTGCAGTTCCTCAAGCTGACTGCAGTAAAAGGTGCTGAGGGCTAGGTTTGATAAACTGTCAGCACTGCAGCATGCACGGCACTGCCTGAGATTTGAAAAGGCTGATATTTGTTCCAAATGCAAATTTGTACAAAACAAGCCTTATTCTCCTGAGCACAACTCTCCAAATCTCCTCCCAGGCACATGTTCAGATGGTGCTTAGGGAAGGGAGGTGGTTCTTATGGAGCATGCTAATTATGAAACAGATTTTATCAGCCATCTTTGCAAATTGGCCTCAAAATTACCAGAAACCCAAAGTAGCATTAAAACTGCCTTGTAACAGCAGTAATGAATGAGCTTCAGTGCAGCAGGCGAGCGTGTAACATTGCGAGTGCTTGGGATTTTGTGGAGTCTGGTCCTCATAGTGGGGTTTTTCCTCTATAGCACATCTCAGAAATAAAGATGAGGGACAGGGGCTTGGTGGCATTTTTGTGTGAGAGCCAGCAGGCAACTTGAAGGACCTCAGCTACTGCAAGCATACTGTCATTAGGTCTTTGTTGAGAAAAGCCATCCTCCAGCTTATGCAAAGCCCTGACACTCATGCAAAAAAAAAAATGCTCTCCATATTTTCCTTTTCTTCTAAAACATTAGCTCCTTCTAAATGGAGGAGACCAGCCATAGTGTTTTGTAGTACAGTCTAAGTCTTCCCTTAGTCTTGAAACAGGCTGAGACTGACTGTGGCTGAGCTACAGCCCTGGAGGAATGTGCCTTTTGTTCTGCCAACCTTCCCCATAAATAAAAGACAATTATTTATGCGGTGTAAAATACTGTGTATTTTTACAGCTGAAGAAACAGCATTTCCAGAAGCAGCTTGAATTGTTGCTTCCCTCAGTGAGCTCCCACACATCAGAGAGCTGTGTGTGCTGTCGTTCAGATTTTAGGGCAGGGAGGGAAACACGAACGGAGGTGCACAGCCTGCTTGGGGCACCTGCACGCAGCTCTGAGCAGGAAGGCTGTGCCTGGTTCTCCTGTGGGCCAGGGTTTGTAGATGGATGTGTATGTCCACACGTGCTGCGATTTGGAGACCAGATTAGCCTCCTTTCACTTCATGTAAAAGTTCCTTTTTACACGGTGTCTGTCTGTAACTCGTCAGCATGCACGAAGAGCTCTCAGGCTGCTTTCCCTGGAGCACAGCCTTTGCCTGTCCTGAACACCCGGGCTGTTCCCTGCTCTGCAGGGATGGAGTTCACCTCAGTTTTCTTTGCCTGTGGGGATGAAAGAGACCAGTGTGTGTTGCCCTCAGGATTACTGTGTGACCCAGAAAGAGCATTAATTGTTTTAGAGTGTAGTTTTCTCTCACGATCAGACAAACTTCAGACCTTACCTCTTTGGCCCATGGCCTTCTGCTGGGAGAAGGGTGAGCTCTCCTTGGCTTTCCTGGTGAGCTGGTTTCAGACCAGCTCATTCTGCTGGTTTCCCTACAGGAAGGGAATGTCAGCAGCAAACCGTGCCCTTTCTGAGCCTCTATTTAGAGAGGAGAGGTTTGCCAGAGCCGCTTGGTCAGCCTTCCCACCCATCCTGTGTGCTGCCTGCTCTGAACCTGGAGGCAGAGATGAGCCGTGGCAATCCCACGGGCTTCCGCCTAGACCGCTGTGGCTGTCCCACCTCCAGTTTCTGTGGGATGGTCGAACCAGGCCTGGTCTGGTTTGAATTTAGGTCTATTTTAGTATCAAAATGCCCCTTTAAGGCTGTAATTTGCTGCTGCCTTCCTAGAACAGTGGCTAGTGTTTGCTACCAGCTGCTTCCTCCCCATTGGGATAAAATGCTTTCTAAGCAGGGATAGGGTGGAGTACGTTTTGGTGTCTTGTAGAGGCTGGTTTAAGCCTTTTTTTCCTCATCTTTTTAACATTTTAACAATTTAACATCTCATTTTTTAACATCTTTTTAGAGGAGGAAAAATGTCTCGCTCGTTTGCTTGCTGGATGTTCAGATGGGATTGGTTTGGTTTGGTTTGGTTTTTGTCACGTGAATTCCAGGCTAAGTTCACCAAGTGTTTTGGTGCCTTTTACTGATAAACCATATTGATGGTTTCAGCCAGCAGGCAAACTGATGGCAAACTGAAAACTGATTGGAAATTGTGCCACTACTTGCAGAACTGTATTTATACATAATACAGATGTACATGCAAAATTATGTATAATTGTGTGTATTCATGTGTATATAGACATAGATATATACACACACGGTGCAGCAATCATTCACATTTTTTTCTCCAGTTGGCTTTAATTCACTGTCACTCATTGAAAATGATAAGTTTTGAATACATTTACAATTTCTAAGAAAAGGGAAACAATATAGAGCCAGGCAGGCTTTCTTCTTCAGCTTTGTTACAATAAAGTGTAGAGTGCAAAAAATATATATTTTAGCACAAGTTTAAAATTCCGTGTTTCAAAGATCTACACAACTCTAGCCTCTTGAATTAGATAGAGTTTCAATTTATTTTCTCAAATGCCTTTTTCTCAAACAGCTCTTGCAGAATGCCTCTCACTGCAGCTGTGTGACCTGGGGCCAGGTGGAAAGAACAGTAACTCATTTTTTTGTGTTTTATTTTGTCTAATCTTTCCAGGTTGTACCCATTACCGTGCGTCTTTGGGGAATGGTAATGAATTGTGTGGCTCTCCTGGTGTTTCACAGTGTGACCTTCAGTATGTCTCTGTGTCTCTAATAAAGTCTAGACCTTGATTTTCCTCTTGGGATTTCTGTGAGCCTTCAAGTCCATTTTGAGCTCTTTGATGCAAAAGGAGGCCAGTGCCTGACATCTGTAGTCAGGTGGCTGCTGTGGATCTGATCGTTTGCTTTGCTGATGCACCACAGGAGTTTAACAGGGTACCCATTTCATACATGGCATCAGTGTGCATTAGCAGTGTGCATTTGCAGCTTTGTCAAACCAGTAAGGAAAGAAGTGGCATGTCTTTCCCAAGGCATATGCATAAAGCCCTAATGAAAAGCATTTAATCTAATTTTACCCATCATTCCCAATTGCCTGTGCTTGGGATGAGATGATCATTATAAAAAGGCACGAATTCTCTTCTGGTGTGGGTTTTCTGGGTGTTGTTTCTGTTCTTTTATTATGGTTAACTCTTCCCACTGCAGAAAGGGCCACTCCAGGAGGGTGTGATGAGCACTGCAGCAGTGCTTCAGGCTCTGTGCCCTGAGGTACGTCGCTGTTGAGCAGTTAGTTCTCCTTGACTCAGCCAGCTAAGGCAAATACATCTCTGTGTGTTCTAGCTGGGGACACACCAGTCCTGAAATGTCACAGTTAATTAATAAACGACTTCAGGAAAGCATTGCAAGAAAGAGTTGAAGCCTGGGAAGGCAGGCCTTGTGAAGAAAAACTAAAAGCAGTCCATCAGAGGGAATGTGGAAGAGTAAAAAGGATCTCGGTCCACAAATAGCTAAACCAGAGTCATTTCTGGCAGGGCAGGCAGCTCTCCAAAGAAACAGAAAAAGGCAGAACAAGACTCAGTGCTCAGAAGTAGAAACAGAGTTCACTTGGATTTAGGAATTCTTCATTACTGACAGTCTTTAAATCAAGACAGGATCAATTTCTAAACCAGGATGTGAGGATGTGGTGATGTTCTTAGCCAGCTTCTTTCACAAGTTTTATGCAGAAAACTATTTTTTCTGTTTCTAAATGTATGTTATAAAACAAAGATCCTTCTTTCCACAGGACCAGAGTTCGTTGTTTTGGTTTGCTTTGTTGTTTTTTTTTAATCTTTCGTTCCTTTCCATGGTTATAGCCCTGTTTTCTGCAGGCTCTGGTCCCTTAATCAGGAAATAATTCATGTTTTCCATTGATCCTGTGTAGTCAGATTAATATTGCGTGACCTGGCTGAGGGTGTTATGTCCTGTTAGAGGAGTGGAGACCACATGACAATATCTTGGCTCTGGAAAATTTCCGTAATGTGTCTGTTATCTTTCAAAAGTGGAATCCCATTTTATTGTATTTTATTTTTTTGTAGTGAAAATGAATTCCCCCCCAAATTGCATTAATTAAGCAATACAAGAGAGCTGGACGGGTTCTTTAGTTGAGTTTCCTTATGTATTTATTTTTCTTTTCCTTTCTTCTTCGCAGTATGTGGTCATCCCAACGCGCCGTGCAACCGCAGTGGCCTTGCAGAGCTTCACTTCGCACCTCCTGGGAGATGCTGGCAGTCCTTATCTGATTGGATTTGTAAGTGCTCACAGCAGGTTTCGGCAGGGTTGTACACCCACGTTTGTGTTTGTTTACTGACTGTTTCTCTAACATGCCAAGCTGAACTATGCTAGGGAAGGGAGGCCTGTATTTGTCAGCGGAATGGGAAGTTGTGCAGTGCAATGCAACTTTTTTACACGCTATCTGTGGGCCACAATTCTAACATGGGAGGAACACTTGTGCACAAGAAGTGAGCTTCTAAATCTGTTTGGCCAGGGCATTTGTAGACTGCACTGTAAGGTGAGATTGGTTGCTTCTGTGGTATGGACAGCGGCCCGTTAGGAATTAGATTGGAACGGGGGTGGTGGTAGTGGGGTTATTAGTATTCCTTCTGGTGTGCATATTTTGTTTTCTATTACTTGTATGCCTTTCTGTTACTGCTGCACTTGTTGGCCTTGGTTTGACTTGAGACCTCTCTTATTATGCCACCATTACCCTACTGCAGAGTGAAACAAAAGTCCCTGCTCCAAAAATAGGCCATCAGAGAATGTTCCTAGCTGAAAATATAAGGCCTGGGAAATATAATGAAAGAAATCTAGCTATACTGGGGTCATTTCTTTCCCTTGAAACCTTCTGTTGTGTTTAATGCACTGCATTTCAGAGAAGATAGATCATTGTTTATAAAATACAGCAACCTCCATGTAAAGCATTAAGTGATAGTGCTCATGTTGTGTTGAAGGTGCTACAGTTTTCCAGCGATGTAACTGGGACTTTAATTAGTCTCAACACCTGAGAGAGAGCACTTGATGTGCTCTTGCTGCTCAGTAATGCTGGCTGCTGTGGACCTTTTTTTAACAGCCATTTCTCTTCTACTTATCCCATACTCACTAGCGAGTGTATATATACATATTTATTTGTGTTTAACATATATATTTATATATACACACATAATATTTTATACACACATAATATTTACTGTTGAATGTGAGCTCCCCAAAACAATATAGTTGCTCTGTAGCCCTCTGAAGTTGACATGAAAAGACAAATATAGATAAGACTGAATGGATCAAAGAAATGAGAGACATCCCTAGAGAACAAATATATATGATTTGGCTTAGTCTTTATTTACATCAATGTTCTGGGCACCCCAGGAGAAATGATCTTATTTTAGAAAGTATTTGAAAGTGGTGAGAACAAAGGAGACACTGGGAGAGATGGATTGTGTAGGGTGGGCAGCATGGGGGAATGTGAAGTAGGAGTGGAATTGGCAGGCGTTGCTTTGGGGATGGGTGTCAGGGATGAGGGGCAGGGTCTGGGATGCAGGAGAGGCTCCCAGGTGACTGCTGCGTGTTCCCTCTTCTTTTTAAATAACAGGGACATCTAGGACCCTGAATGATTGCAATTCATCTTGAACTTTGCCTAGGGCTCTTGTGTCACAGATAGACACAACTTTGGTTGTAGAAAAAATTGTGCCTTGCCCTTCTGGTGTTCAGACACCAAGCAAGTTGTGAGTTACTTCAGGCTGCCTGCCTGAAAGATGCTTAAACCAACCCAATTTAATGGCTGCCTTGGGCTTTCTTTAGAGTGGGAAAAATATTAATTACGATTTTGAATTACTCTTTTCTAATGCTGTAGTTTTTGGGCGGTTCTTGCTTGGGAGGAGGCTCTCCAAGTACAAGCCTTCCCTGCAGGGAGCCAGGGGGTAGCACTTGTGCCATGGGAGGCACCGGCACCCGCTTCTGTAGCCTCTGGGCTGGCTCGGCTGACTCATGCTCCTGCACTACTCGGGCTGAAAGGCCAACTGGAGCTTTCAGATACAGGAAAACAAACGCTGTTCAAAGTGAAAGGACAAGCAGACAAATTTTCCACTAAGACAAGCTCGCAAATTAATTGTTCATGTCTGCAGGCTTTTGCCACTGGAATAGTCCAGCTGAGCAGTGGGCTGGAGACCTGCAGGCAGCATAGAAATCTCACTTGGACAAGTTAAAGAAATGGTTTAGATCTAGGATTTCCAAGGCAGGCTACAGGAGCTAAGGAACCATCTCCTCGTGACTTCAAAGGAGAGTTGGGAGTCCAGTTCCCATGGTCCTAGGAATCCCCAGCCTGAGGACACCATGCAGCAGGCCAACACCAGCGTGCACGTCTTGAAAGAGAGAGGGAGAAGGCAGGATAAAGCAAATGAACCGACGTAACAGGAACACTAGAAACAGTAAAATTCAGCCTCCTGATCACTCGGGGTGAGAGACCCTCAAGATCTGCCATTTCTTCTAACTGCTTACAACTTCCAACTGAGGCTCCCTCACTAAAAGAGCAATGTTTTGATCCAAATATAGAATCAGAGAATCATTAGGGTTGGAAAAGACTTCCAAGATCATCTGGTCCAACTGTCCCCCTACCACAGATATCACCCACTAAACCATGTCCCTAAGCACCACGTCCAACCTCTCCTTAAACAGCTCCAAAATAGCAGGCATCTTACGTAGTTTTGGGGGAGTTCACAGTGAATTTCTTTCCAGCAGTGCCCTTAGTACAGAATCAGATACTCACGTCCTTGTAGGACTAAGCTGTGTCAGCCAGTTGTCTCTGTTTGCTGGATACCAATAAATGTTGTATTGATCTTATAATCCTCATGTAGAGCATAGAAAAGTACTTAGCAGCTGCAGCCTCGCATGTGCGATTTCTCCCTTGCTCTGTGGTGTGCTGTAAAAGTTGAAGGTCAGCCTCACATTTTTCTGTAATCTCCCCCACTTCCAAATCCTGCCGTGCAGTTACAGCTGATGAATGCTTTGCATTTAAGCACTTTCCTATAATCATCAAAAGTGCCAAATATATGCTAGTGTTTAAAAGCTAAGTGGAAGGCAGCGTGTATGTGTGGTTGTTTTTCAGGTCTCTTTAAATATTGATAACTTTTCTTACGGTAAAAAGGATTAAGATGGTCTTACAAAGAAGCTATGCAAATGCAGTCTGAGGGTGGCAGCTAAAATTTGCATAAGGTTTTACTACCTGCCAAACACAGAGATCAATTCCTACAAATCAGTGCTGCCTGTTCATTCACAAATTAGAATAGGCATTGCTGCAGTGTTTCGTTAGATGAGCCAGTTTTCATTCCTATATAACTGTACCTTTTTCAGGACCTTTGTGATACTCTGCAGAATTTAAATAATTCCCATTTAACACCTTGGAGTATATCTCCATGCTTTATTTTTGAGGTAATTTCCCCCGTTTATGTATTAGACCCCCGTGCCTTGGTACTTTGGCTTTCCTTCCTCCAAATCTGCCATTTTCTTTTCTCTGTGAGCAAAGCAGCATTTTCCTCTTCCACGCTTGCCTTGCTTCTAGTCCTGGCTGTGAGGAGAGGCAGGCACCTGCTGCAGGCTCTGAATGTGCCAGGGAAATTGCTGCTGTGGGCACGCACTGTCCTGGCTGCTCTGGTGCTGGAGCCTCTTCTGTTAGCTTGCTGCTTTATTAAATTCTTCCACATCTGCCCTACACAACCATCCATCAGCTCTGGGGACTGAAACCTGTCTGTATCTGTCACCTGGCAGCATCAAGGTGAGAGGAATGGGGCTTTAAAGTGCTGGTGGTCAGCATCCCTCCCCCCGTACCTTTTGCTGGGCTGAAAACTGCTCCCTGTGCCCCACTGGCTGGGTACCCACCTGGCCTGACCTCCTTGGCTGCCATTCTTTAGGTTTATCGGAGGGACACAACCTCCAGCCAAGCAGTATGGGGCCAGCAGACCACGTCTGGCATTGAGTCTGTTTGTGCCATGCCTGAGCACGCTGTTTTTCCTGGCAGCACAGCCCACAAGTGCCTGGACAGGCATCTTCTTGCTGAACAGTTCCCTTCTGAAAGCCAGGTCTGAGTGTGGGTGACCTCGTAATTAATTGTAAGCAAGTGTGAGCTGTTCTGCTTTGTTTTGAAGGGGTTTTGTGCAATTTTATTACCTAGAAAAAAAAATTACGAATAAGCCAGTTGTCACCCTTCACTTTTCTCCCCCAGCTTTCTTATGTGAGTAGGTTGATAAACTAGAGCTAATGAGCTACTTAAATAGCAGGAATGCTAATGGCCTTCCTTTAGCAAGTAGTTAGCAGAACAGTGTTAATTATCACTGGTGCAGAGTATCAAGAAGGCACATCAGCATATGATTAGGGGCAAGAAAATTTGTAGGGAATGCAGTAACTGAGACACTTCTTTAATGAAAGTTATAATTGGAGGTATAGCTCTAACAGCCTTCTTGTCCCAGTTTGAGGCAGCCTTTTTGGTGATTTGCTTTTAAAGATGTTTACCCATCCAAGTAAATATGTAGGTATAGGAAGGAGAGTATCTACATGAAAATGCTTGCCTGCTTGCGGAAGCTGAATTCATGTGTTATGGTTTACAACTCCTATTTTATGGTTTAAAATACTATGGCTACTCCAGAGTAGATCTGCGGACACGGCTACTCTGCAATAACATTCTCTCCAGTTTACTCTGCTACACTAAAACAGACAAATGTGCAAGTTGTTCTCCCAGCATCACTCTGTTTTATGGACTATCAGGAGCTATTCCACTGCTGTTGTGCGGTTAAGGGTGGAACAGAGGTCTCTGTCTTGTTGCCTTTTGCAGCAAGCCCCTTTCCAGGAAGGCCACCTCCCTTTTGCTGAGGACACTTTTTGGTGTGTGTCTGCCTGACAGCTTGTTCATTTTTCAGGGCTTGCACCCTTTGAGAGCAGAATCAAGTTTTCAGTGAGCATTGCCTGTAATGATGAGTCAAACCCTGCATCCTGAGAGCTGTCCCCCTGCCCAGTGGCACTGCATTTGAGGGATCAGACCAGAAGCTGTTTTTCACCCATTTCTTTCCCTGCCACGCAATCATGAACCCCTAACAGCACTGTGCTGGTGCTCACGAGGAGTATTGGCTGGGGGAGCACAGCTCAGGGTACTGGTGTAGTGACTTTTCTAGGATCGTCGCATACAGTTCTAATATTTATAGCATATCTGAGTGCATCTAGGCAGCATCTTCCATCACCTGATGGAGAGAGCAGGTGGCATGGGAGACACATTCATGGTTGTGATTGTTCCTCGTTTCCTTACCAAGTGCCAGCTGCTGTTCTGTAGCCCCAAAGTATCACTCCTGCAGTCTTCCCCCACAGCCGTGCTTGCAATATGACCCAGATTGCGGTGGGTAAACTGGGGCTTGCTCTCATAGTCCAATATCTGATGCACGTGTTTCATGGAAATATTTCAAGGAAAACTATCCCCAGACTCTCATCCTTACTAACTATTTCTTCAAGCAGTAAATTTGCATTGAGGATTTCTCTGGTCCTGGCTGAGCTGAGTATTAATTATTAGTATTATTTTTTCAGAGTGCATGAAAAGGCCAAATCTTTGACATGGCTGTCAGCTGCAAAAAAGGGGAGAATTAAGCACCTGGAAATCAATCCGCACAGGATTTATTTCATTTCAGTGACCTAACAAGCTTTCCACTTCTGCTGACTCATCAACAGACAAGATTTAAATCTGTCCTGAAAAAAAATAACCAGATGACTTCCCTTATATAAAACAGTCTTTGCCAAGGGCTCACAGCCTGGTTTTCTTTTCCAGAAGAAAAAAGTGCTGTGCACCTGACATTCCCTGTGACTTTGGTTAGAAGTGCAGCTTCTCAGTATTTTTGATAAATGGATGTTTAAAGTATGTACAAGTATCTAATTAAAGCAAACCCAGAAACTCAGAGGTGATCTTTGTTCCACTCCAGTGTTTCAAGCTCTGTCCCATCTGCTCTGTCACTTCTTTTCTGTGCACTAAAGATTTCACCTAAGTGGCTTCTTTCTCAAGTTCTAAGGACCCTGTAAACTCCCAGCATGACCAGTGGAAGGTGCCAGTCCCCCTTGCTGCTGCCAAGCATCATGTCACTCCAGTCGGCAGCAGGGAAGATGGTGATGGGTGTCCATCCTGCAAAGAAATGAGAGTGCAGGGACAGGGATACTGCTAAAGGTGTGCTCCCAAACTGCAGTCCCCTACCACAGACCTGATTTTTGCACCTAAGTGTGCATCACCCTCCCCTACACATTTAGTACCTGTGCCCTAACATGAGCCGTGTTTCCTGATTCCACATTGCCTGTGGGACAAGGCATCTCCTGCTGGGAGAGAAGAAAGTCAGTGTTGCCTTACAAAATCCCTGGGCAGCCCAGACCTGAAGAGAAGGGCAGTTAATGACATGGAGAAAATAGTCTTCCAAACCTCTCCTGTTGGCTAGGGCAAATGTTGTCTGGAGGCAAATGTTGCTCTAACACCAACAGACACACAAAGTCCATTTGTTAGCATTGAAAGTGGAACACTTGATTGATTTTTTTAATTTTCTGTGGCCCTTTTAAGCAAGCACCAGTTATTTAATGAAGTCTGCTGATCCTGGGAGGAGTAAAAGGGCATAAACAGATGAACCCAACACAGGGGAAGCAGTGCAGGAATTCTTGCTACAGGTCATACTCAGGTACCATGCACAAATGCAGACTATTGATATTGTCACCAGCCGGGTAACAAATCTGGCTTTGATCTCAGAAGGGCACAATTAAGGTTAACAGGATGTTTGACTTTTAGTCCTCCAACATGGGGTTATGAGGGGTGCTGTGTTAAGGAGTCGTGCTGAAGAGAGGAGCCAGAGAGAACCTGGCTTGTACCCAATGGGTAATAATAAAAATCGGGAATTTGTGCCAGGTACTGCAGTGGAAATATCCTTTTGTGTAGCAAAATTTGTGTCCAAAAGGCAAAGCCAGAAATGTAGAAAAAAAACAAGCAATTGCAGAGGAATTGAGATGTACCACTCAGCAATAAGAGAGGGCAAGTGAGATGATAATTGCCATTACACTGTACAATTAGGGAATGACTTTAACTGCTCCTGCTCTTCAGGAGGGAGAGTAACACAGCAGCAAGGTGTCTTGCTGTAGAGCTTCAGCATACCTGAACATCCATTGGTCCAAAAAAACAGCACATGCTTCCAGAGAAAGGTGATAAAGTTTCCCTTTGCTGTCTTCTGCACTCAGACTGAGACACGAGCAGAGATTTGGGATTTGGGGATCAGGCCCCTTGGAGCCGTACTGTTTGTTCTGCAGACAGTGGGCATTTTCTCTCGCTGGACTCCACCCAGCTGCTTGCCGCCCACTGAACACATGTCGGTTGTGTTCTCTTATAAAAACACCGTGAGCTGAAGTGTATTCAGCAAAGTCATTCCTCCTGGCCCAAGACCTATCTTAGGGAAAAGAAGATGTGAACTTTCATGCTTAAGATGTTATCAAATCCTTGCAAAACTTGCAATGCAGTAGGAGAGCTCACTCACTTTCCACCCCCAGGTTTTGGATAAATGTTTTGGAGTTTTTTGCCACTTACCAATTGGCAGAGCAAGAGAAGCAATCCCGTACCTGACTCCTTGCTGAAGAACTGGAACTGACCGTGCATGCAGCACCTGCTCTTTGTTACTCGGGACAGAAAGAAGACACTGAAAATGATTCTAGATCGGGTCTTGCCAGATCACAGTCAGACAACTCAGAGTCCCATCATTGCAAGGAGCCTGCAAGCCAAAAAGTGAGAGGCCAGAGCAGACCGTTTGGCAAACTGTGTGTCATTCTTGGAGCACAAGGCTGTAATAACATCCTGTGTCCTCTGGAGAGGAGATGCCAAAGTCCCAGCCTTAGCAGGTGGCTTGTACTGAGTAGAACACAACAAAGCAGAATAGTGACTGCAAGTTAACAGCAAAAACAATATCTAAGCCCTGATAAAAGTTCCAGAATTAAGAGATTGGTGAGTGGACTATAGGAAACTGAGGTGAGATCAGTTTCCAAATCCATCTGGCTTGAGGGATGGGGTTTTACCTTGGATGGGAGGAAACACCGCTGTTCCTAAAACATGCACTTAAGATTCTGTTGGGTTAAAAATTTCAAAGGTACCATAATTAACATTACCAAGACCTGTTGGTATAAAAGGTCAATATGATGCCTTAGAAGGCATAATTAGGAGTGTGGGGCAAGGTGTATTGGGAGTTTTATTTGTTGGAGACTACATTTTCAAAGCTGTTTTTAGCCTAGAATGTCACGTCACCTATGGCTGGCTTTTCATCATCCGTAGCTGATCTATCATGTCAATTTGGTGAGTGATTTATTGCCTGCTCCTTTCGGAGGATAATTGGATCCATTCCCAATAATGAAATATCTCAGTTTCTGTTGTAGAATAGCCTCAGTTCTGGCTATTGCACATGGAGGAGCTGATTGAATATGGAATTTTGGTTCATAATGAAGAGAAAGGGAAATGTGGGGAACTAAGGTGTCTGGATACAAGAGGGAATAGATTGCCAGCTGAGGTCCCTGTCTTCTGGGTGCAGTGTGTGTGCTGTTGATTTCCTGGGGGTGCATTCTTTTCACATTCAAGTCTTTTTGCTACTTTTTTAATGTCTCTCAGATTGTTAGCCACTGTTGTTTGTCTTTCAGTCTAAGGACTTTTTTAGCCGTCAGTTCTCACCTGAGACTTGGTGCTAATGCTCCTGTTTTTGTGTGTGTTATACAATGTGAATGAAGTTCTCTTTGAGAGGCCAGGAATGCTTCCTTTGCTATATCTGAAACACTGAAATTTTCTCCTCCTCCTTTCTAGAGCAGGGAGTGAAACAGAAATCTGGCTAAAAACCTTCCATCAGTTCTGTAGATACACTCTTCCTGTGTTTATTCACTTGTCTCTGCTTGACATTGCTGTCATGAAAGCCGATCCTCTGCTCTTTCGTGCGCAGAGTAGTTTCCCCTCCTGCACCAGGCTGGCTGCTTCTCCTTCCCTGCACTGGAGCTGGAGCCAGGCTGAGTAATGAGGAGGATATTAAGTCACAGAGGCCACCAGTGCTCCAAAGAATCTCCCTGCTACAGAGCCTTTAAAGCACACACCGTGACCTCTTCATTGGTGTCTCCCCGAGTGTCATCTCCCTGTGACCTTCTGCTGAGCTTGGCCCCTCTGAGGCATCTCTACGCACACATTTACCTCCCAGGTCAATGCCGTTGGCTGCAGGGCTGTGAATCGCTGCTTTCTCCTGACCGTAACATTTTATCACTTCACTTAGCTGTAGTTTGTCTAGATTTAAGCTTTCAGTGTCAGATTTTGCTACACCACCTTTCTCATCGGCAACAGCGTGGCAGTTTGGGAGGTGCTGCACAAGCTTTGACTGTTTCCAGAACTGATTTGCATGTGTGCACGGCCGCAGGATTTTATGCTGCAAATTGCCTGCAGTCTTTTGGTATCAACTGGCATTTCTGTCTCAACAAAAGGTCACAGACAAAGCCAGAACTGGACGTTTAAATAGCCAGTGCCTTGGGACTCATCCTTACTGCTGCTACCTCTGTTTGATTTATAGAGGGTGGTTGTTTGCTGGACAGTAAATATTAAAACGTGATTGTCTTAGCTGCAGACACTCATTAAATATTACTGAGCTTTAGCAAGAGCTTCTCATACCGATTTAAATACTGCCAGGTTAGACACCCGCTGATTCAATCACTGAGGTAGCTAGGGAGAAGGTGGAGAGGGCTGAGGGAAGAATAACAGATTGGGACAGAAGAATGATGGAGAGGGGAATCTTGCCACGCTGCTCACAGTGAGAAGTGCCCGGGCTCCAGAGTGCAGAATAACTGCGTTCGGAAGGCTAAAGCATGCAAAGGGCATTCAGCCTCTCATGAACAAACTCTTCCATTTTAAACATTGTGCACATGTTCAGTGGGTGGTTGTTTAGGGAGCTGTGTTCCCTCGGTATTATCATGTCTATTTTTCATCTAAGTGACTAATTTTTTTTTCTCTTCTCTCCTAGATCTCAGACCTGATACGACAAAGCACAAAAGAGTCCCCGCTCTGGGAGTTCCTCAGCTTGGGGTATGCACTCATGCTCTGCCCGTTTGTCGTTGTCCTAGGAGGGATGTTTTTCCTGGCCACAGCCCTCTTCTTCCTAAGTGACCGAGCCAAAGCCGAACAACAGTGAGTAACCTGGCAATTGCAAATGGGGAAGTACCAAAGCCTGTTTTCTCTCTCGAACTCTTATGCTTGTACTCTTTCCCTGGGCCTTGGTCCTTCCAGGTAAAGGATGTCAGGTTGTATGGTAAGAACCTCAGCTCAGCAGAGTGCATGAGGCTGCACGAAGCACAGGGGCTTGGGTCATGCTGGCTGGGCATCCTTTACACGCTTCTGCTCTGGTAGATCTGTGACTGGCTTACGACCTGGAGGGGAGCACAGCACTTACGATCACAGACCCCTTTTACCCTCGCGTGAGCATGCCACAGGCCAGGCCATCCGTGAGGGGCTGCTGTGTGCTGGACCTGTGGACTGCTAGGTGGACAGCAAGAGATACCTTACAGAGCTTGGTGGTCAGCTTTGAGCCCAGAGTCCCACCTCAGCCCCCTGTGTCCTGCTCACCCCCTCTAATCTACAGCACAGCAGGCAAGAAGGAAGGAAGCTGTGTATGTGGGGACACACGCGCTCAAGGGTCACTGTACTAAAGATAGTCTTACCCAGTCCCTTCTTACAGCTTGTAAAAAACAGCTACTGTTTTGCAGTAAAGAAACCGATTCGGACCACCTCACGGTTGGCAACTACAGTAATTCAGAAGACGCTTCCACATGACATACACACTCCTGGGGTTAGTCTCTTTCTCCTAATTGTTGAACAATAAGAGTACCTGTGTATAATGGCATGCTGAATATGCGGGCAGGCGACTAGTCTGGAGCTAGCTGGAGGTTGCCTTTGCCTTGCTCCCACTGGGAGGAGGAGGAGGAGGTTATCATTCCTGTGAAGTGGCTGCGAGAGCCAATTGCAGCGGTAGAGGAACAACGGCGTAGACGTGCTGTGGTAGCTGCAGTGCTGCATCAGACAGCCACAGCAATGGGAACTTTGTGTGACTGAGCTTCACCCGTGTAGATCTCACTGCACAAGTGTTTGCATCGGTTTAGTGACACAGATGTAGATACGTGGAGCAAAAAAAACTATGTGGACATTTTAGCAGCCTGTGATAATTGCACAGACCAAGAGAGCAGAGCATACCTTGCTGTACGTTGAAGAGAGTGGCCCTGGCATGTCACTGTCACTAGAAATGATACAGCTACAAGGCAAAAAAGGTGTTTGGAAATTGACACAAGTGTGTGAACAGTTTGGGTGACACTCTCTGGCTCACACCATCTTATCAGATGGATGCAAGAGATTTGAAAGCAGTGCCAAAATGCTGTCCTGAGTCCCTGTAAGAGCAGCTCCACCTTCCTTTTACTAACACACACAAATACAAGATAAAGTTTTTCCTCTCCTGGTGCCTATAGGTATCTATTCCACCTATAATGAAGTGTTTAAACATGCTGGAGAAAACAAGACAAACAAGACCTCATCATGTATCTTGTAAGAAGCTTAAGCCTTGCATAGTTGAACTTTGGTGTGGCTTTGGGGATGTGGCATGACAGGCGTGTGCCCGCTTTGTTACTATCTGCTTATAAAGGCTTTAAGTTGCAGTAAGTGAAGATGTTAGGAAGAACCTCCTAAGAGAAAGAAGAGGGCAATGGTACAGCAGAGAATCTGGAGAAGACATGAAAACCTGTATGGGATCCTAAGGGCCTCCAGAGCCTGGGGAGCCAGGAGGATGGGAACTGCTCTGGCTGCCTTTTGGCTCTGTTCCTGTAATGCCAGACATGAGCTGTACACACAAGTCTAAGCAGTGCTGATCCCTTGGGGACATGGCAAGATGAGCAGAAGTTACTAGGTGCTCAGGGTGACTTTTATTGCAGCTGGGAGCCAAAAACACAATTTGGTGATAGGGTAGTAAGTAGTAGAGAGATCACAACCTACAGCTCTCTTTTATCCTGAATAAATGTGTTTATTTTTGTCTGTTGTTGTCTAGCCTGAGCAGATTTGGTTGTACTCTGTTCCTCCCAAAGCATGCCAGCTCCCAAACCAGTCACTGGTCCACTTAGTGAAGAACCTTAGTTATGCAGGCATCAGACCTGCTTTTGCTGTACTCTCTTTTTCAGCATCCTTCTCTTTCCTGGTCCGATTCACCCTCATTTCTGAATTTTACATTACTCAGTTCCTGATCCTACCGTTGCGATCTGTCCCAGTTGTCATAAACAATGGCTAACAAAGCAATCTCTCTCGAATGACTTCTGCATTCTTTCTGGATATGCCCACTCCCATGTTAAAAATACTCTGTCATCCTACCATCAGATTTCTGGAGACTGCAGCTTAATTCCGGCTTGACACACTGCTGAACAGTAAGGCAGTATCTTTAATAAGGTTGGCAGCTGCTGAGTAAGGCTTCTCTGCCTGCCATGTGCGTGGTGTCTGTGCTGTCGACTGGGTCCCGTCTGCTCTTGCTGACAGGGTTTGGTGGTCTTCTTGGAAGAATTTACAGAGAAGGATTTGTTATTAGCTGCATGTCTGCCTGTGAGAGAAGACAAGTGAGTATTTTGCTATTAGCAGCTTAGAGCTCCGTGCTGGACTCAAACCCAGTGTCCATCTCCCAGCTATCTGACAGGCCATCTGCACTTGGCACCGCGCACCTTTGGCAACGATAACTGCCTGCCTGGCCAAGCCTCTCTCATATCCTACCTGTTATTTGCTGGGTATGGGAGAATTTCTTTTTCAAGACGCCTTATTTTCTCTCTGCAGTCAGTCGTGCTGCTCAGACAACGGGACTTGGAGCTGTGCTTTGCCAAAAGAAATCAATTAACCTGCAGGAATCACGAACGCCAGTGTCACATGCCAGAGATTAAATCCATTCATCACCAGTAGGGTCAGGGCGTGCGGGCCAGATGTCGCAGACCCCTCTAATGAACTAATATGGAAGCAAAGAAGTGTAACGCTGCTCTCTGCAGCCCTGCTCTGCCTATGGAAATTAAGCTTTCTCTGCTTTAATTTCAGTGCTTCTGTGAAAAGGAGTTTTTTTTTTTGGTTTGGTTTGGTTTGTTTGTTCCTTTGTGTGATGGTCTCTGGGTGTTTGCTTTGAGATAATTTCTTCTTCCAGGCAGGACACAGTATCAGGATAGCAACGCCACTTTCCTGTAAAGCTTTTTCCAGTTTCCACCACGTTTCCTTTCAAAAACAGAATTTCCAGGCTTTCAGTGCCTCGTGGTGTTCTTACGCTGCTTTTATCATTGCCACAGTTCTTGGCATATGTTGTGCACTGCTTTTGGAGCACAGGAATTCCAGTCAATGGGGTTGCCCCTCTCACAAAAACACTCAGAAAAAAATCTTTATATAGCAACTCTTTTCCTAAAAAAATCCTGATTCTTTTACAGTGTCTTTGATACTGTCTTAGGAGTCTGACAGCTTAAAGAGGCTTTCAGTCAATTTAGGACTAGCAGAGAACACGATACAGTACATCACTCTGTAATATAATCCAATCGTTTTTGGTGCAATTTTTAAAACACAAATTTAGCCTCACCCTTCCAAAGTGCTAAGAGAGACAAAATGGTTAGAGAACAGTTTCTGTAAGAGCTCTTATGCACTCGTAATCATAAATATAGCAGTTCTTTATGAAACCACTCCACTACAATTACGGCTGTGGTTTCACTCGGCTATCCTGTTGGTCCTTTCCTGTTCTGTAGTGCTGCAGTGGAGGGCTAAAGCAGTCATGTTTTCTTTCCAAACATACCTACCTTCTCTTATATATTTCTCTTACATGCATAATGAAAATTTATGACACCCAAGTGGTACTTGGAGATGCTCTGGGAGAGCGTATATACAAGGAGAGGGGAGAGTATCCTGCCAGGACAGAGCCCTGCAGAAACAGATCAGAAATCTTATTATCATCCAGATAATAATAATTAGTTACAATAATAACTTAGAATAATTATTACAATTAACATGTTAATGACTAATATAAATATTATAATAATTGTTGTAATAACTAATTAATATCAGCCAGATAATATAATTAGTTATCAGCCAGAAGGCAACTTCCAGAGGTCAGGAGCACTTCAGGTACTTCACTTGGAAGTAAAAGCTCAGCACTGCTGGGAATTGCAGTGTGGTCTACAGCTTGTTTCTTGCTCATAATGCAGATAACTTGAGAAAACAAAGCCTCACCCTGGAGGGCTGCAGAAGAAATGCCTATATTAGTACTTAGTAGGAGCAGTGGCTTCACTAGTAATTAGGAAGAATGTGCTCTTTTCATTATGAAAAGTTTTTTTAAAAAAGTCCTTTCCACAAGCTCTGACCACTTTTGGATGCCAGGGCACATAAATCACTGTAATGTAATTAGCGTGTAAGATGATTTTTTCTGGGCAGTCAGCATGAGTGTCAGGAGCATCAGGAGCTTTGCTGTGCAACGCTCCTCTGTTTCTGCACAGACACTGACCTGTGGGACCACAGATGCACTGCAGCAGGCACAGGGTGGTTCTGTAACCCAGGGTCCAGTCTCCAACGATGTCTACTTCCAGTTGTTGCTGAGAGAAAACCCAAATTCACCTAGATTTTTCCAGAAAGACACCACCCTGTGCAGGTGTCGGATAATCTACCCCTCAAATGATTTTTTTTTCCTATATCATTTTTTATTTAATCACTGATTTTGTACCTGGAGGCTTGAGATTTTCTGTTCTTTCCTGTCCCATCCAGCCATACAGCAAGATGCTCTGGATGGCTATCCAAGGTTTAGAATTGTTCAGTCTCTCCCTGCATCCTGTATGATATATGCTGGGTATTTCTGCCAAAGATACAGCAATGCAGATCAGGCAGCAGGATGCAACTGCAGCGTATATCCCTGGCACAGACACAAACAGAAATAAATAGCTGCCCTGATGCAGCTGGTCACAACAAAAGAATTCAGGTATTTAACTAGCTACCACCCATCACTGCAGAGAGACCTGCAGGCATAAATGGCTCACCTGCTTGTTTACATGACTGGTAAAGAATCAGATTACTTTAACACCTCTAGAAGGGTTTTCTTCTTTCCTAAAATCAAACATTTCATTAGGGAAAAAAAAAAAAAAAAGATTTGATCAGGTGAGGAAACTCTAGCTGAGTAGCAGTGGTAATTAACATTTAATTTTAAAAGTGGTGGGTAAAACACTGCAAAGAAAATACTTATTACAGACTAGATAGTGCAAGACAGAAAGAACAATTCCTAGTCCCTGCACCTTTTCTGCTGTCTTAAACATGGCAAATCTGAAAATTGCATTACAGGAAAAATGAGAATAATCCATTTTCAGACTCTGTCTCCTGCCTCACATCAGGCTTATTTTTAGCCTTTTCTAGAACTAGATATAAAATGATCTTCCAGTTCTCCTATTGCAGCAATTTGAAAGTGCCTGACCTTATTTTTGCTTTGCAGATTCTATTATGTGGGGCAGGGGAAGGACTCACAGAGCTGTCAAGCCTCCTTTCTCTGATTTTTCTGTGGCAGTGGTTAGAGACAGAAAGGAACCCATCAAGTGAGCTTATGCTGTTGTCAGTACAGGGGAGTCCCCTCCGTTAACAGTGTCACAGGTATAACTGGGGGGCTGGATTGATGCACAGCACATTCCACTCCGGTCATTTGCATTACTGAAAAGAATTTATCTTTCATGAGATAATTTAAGATGTGCTGCAAGGTGTTTTTTTTAGAGAAGCTGAACATGAACTTTAGAGAGCTGTCTCAGTGCTGCATTGAAGCAGTGCCAGTCTGAGGATTTCAGGGCCAGCTAGTGGATTTCATCATACAAGTCCCATACAGGGATATTTGAACAGTTCACCCACTGCTGATATTCAGCTATTTATGGGGAATAACATGATTGCTTTGCTTGCTTTTTTCACTTTACAAAAAAAAAGAATGAGTTAAATATTTCCTATAGGAATATAAGCTCAGGATACTTTTTTAGCCCAGATAAGATGCCCTTAGCCTTTTGAAGGCATGCCGATTTGCAGCAAAAAGCCCAGCTTAGGATGCAGAGGCTCTGTGATGATGAAGGGAGAAAGGCGAGGAGTAGAGTGTGTTCTGAAGATCATAGAGTGACATGAAAAATATGCATAGACTTCAGATGGAACAGGATTAGACTATTAGATGGTTTATATGGAACCAAAGAGTTGGGAGGTGGTGAAAATATACATGTAAGTAGTTTTTTTATTAGTGGAAAAAGCCTACTTGTAGAACTGGTGTGTGGTTCTGGGTTTGTGTGTTTTTGTTTGTTTGTTTTTTCTCTGTTTACTAGTTGTGTTTGTAAATCCTGTAAATGGAGCTAGCAGATACAAGAATGTAGTGGCTTGGGACTAGCTGAATTTTAAATGCTGATTTGCTTTCTTCAATTGGGAGCTGCTGGTTTCATGCAGATGGAAAATAGGCCTTATACCAAACAATTAACTGTTTTGTTCTCCTGCTTTAGTCAACCTGCAGATTACCTGCAGGTTATGTAGGAAGATGTCAAAGGTCAGTCTGGTTGTTCACAGACACGTTGAGATGAATCGTGGTCCTTACACAAAAAGCTCACAGCATTTGAAATATGCTGTTCAAGTTAATTGTTGGCAGCAGGAGCTTTGCTTAAGTATAGGCAGAAGGACAGAGCCAGCTGGTGCTGGCATAGCTCTTGCTGTCTGCAGGCTGTGGCAGAGGCTGCAGGCAGAACGTCGTGGTTGTCCAAGCCCCTCCATTGCCCGTACATACTGTCCTTTTGAGGTTAATCTCCTGTGCCTACAGTATTCCTAGACTATTCCCAGCTGTTTGCTGTTCTACAGCAGAAAGGAATTGTTCCATGTGGCTGAAGTTAGAGGGAGGCACAGCTTCCTTTTCCAAGAGCATCACAAGAACTGCTTTGAGTCCTGCTGTCTTGGTTACTGACTCTGCTGTGACCTTCAAGAAGTAAATGCTATCCCTAAAATGCTCATCAGCTGGAGAACAGGATTAAAAGCTCTTGCCCACAAGGTGGAAGGGGACTTAAACCATATGCTCACAATCGATGAAATATGGCACATTGTCACTGCAAAGGACAGTTCTTGGCATGCAAGGACATTGCCACACAGGAAGGTATTTTAAACTCATGCTAAGACAGTTTCTTTGCTAAGGCTGCCCTGGCACAGGTACGAAATCTGATGAAATCTCATGCAGGTGACTGGAGCAACGGAACAGAAAGCAGTCTTCCAAGCCAGAAAGCCTTTCTGACACAGGGAAATAGAACCAGTAATGAAAAATGCTGCTTTGCCAGTCTGTTTCCTGAAGACTGTCACAGTCACAGAACGTATTATAAAGGTATTGACTTTTATCAGCAGCAGATGACCTCTTCACGTGGAGAACTGCATGCTCATATTCATGGCAACTGTGTTAATAGGCTAATTAGCACTTAGCATAATGGCAGTCCGTGGACTTGTGCACTCTGAACCTGGACCAGAGGTGTTTGGCAAGGCAGATTTTCAGCCAGTTGTGACTCTGTGTGTGTGTTAGAGTAATTTAATTGTGGTTGGGGCCTTGGCTTGAGTGACGTCTTTTAGTAAAACAGGGACAAAACTGTTAGCTTATTACTTCCAGTACTTCCACGAGGCCTGTCTGAAGTGTTCTGGCTTAGTCATTCCTCCAGTTGCTGCCAGACCACAACCACATGCCAGAAAGGGCTTGCCCAGACCGTTACAGCAGAGCAGAGCAGGACAGTTCCCCATAGAGGTGGACTTGTCAGTAGGAGGTTAAAGGTTGGACTGGATGATCTTAGAGCTCTTTTCCAGCCTGAGTGATTCTGTGATACCTGCTAGAGACTGGTAAAAGGAGCTGTATCATGAGGCAGTTATTTTTGGAAGGTAAGAAATATGTTTGGTTGGTTGGCATCAGGAAATTGTACAGGAGTTGTTGTTTAAAGATTTCATTAGATCACACCTGTCATGATTTATCGTCCCTCACATTCAATCATGCTAAAAAAAAAAAAAAAGCAAGACCCTCCATTTCCTCTTTCCTCCCTTATTTCAGTGGACATGAGAGTTATGATTTTATCGATGTATTCCATGGCACAGGCAATCCCACCACCTTCACCCTGAGTTCATCATTAGCTGTCAGCATTGTGTACACGGGGACAGACTCAAACACAAAGTTTTGAGGGCTTCAGAGTCCTGCATCTTCAGTAGCTTTGGAAGCACCATTAGCGTACCACCACGGAGCAGTAAGGCAGAGTTAGCTCTGAAGTTCATTTTCATCCAAGACCTTGGTACCTAATGAGTGCTGTTAACTGCTCTTATTCAGATCTGTTCTGTTGCAGCTGCCTGGAAAAATAGAAGAAAAAGTTATTAATTTTTTCTTTACACCATTTTTCTCCTCTGATAAGATCTATGGAAGAGGAAAAATAGAAGCTGACCGTGTTTATTCCTCTGGGGAGAAATATATTCAGCACCTGGGTTAAATGAGCAGATAGAAAATACTAACAGAGTCTGTGCAGCTTTGAGGGGCTGTACCAAATAAATAGAGAAAAAAATGTATTTGCTGTACACGATCATCATATTCTGTTCACCAAACCAACTGATGTGCAGGAAGAGAAGGGGATTTAAGCCAATTCATTACTTTAGTGCAGCTGGCAGAGCACCTGTCACCGCTAGCATGAAGCCCCCACCAGGCTGAACCCACAAGAGAGCTGCTGCTCAGTGCAGACCGACACCGACACCGTTTCTGGCTGCAGAGGGAAGGGCAGCTCTATGCCAGCAGCTGCCAGGAGGGCTGCACGCAACCAGGTCCCGTTGTAGTTTGGTTTGGAGTGCTTCAGATTTACACAAGCCCCAGGCTTCCTCTCTGGGTAGAAGTGAGTGAGCAGAAGCAGCCAGCAGAGCTAAATTAAGCAGTAGTTTCCTACTCCAATGTAAGCTACTCCTGTTCTGCTTCTTTTTTTAAAAAAAATAGTGTTATGCTTGGTGTTCTTTAGCAAACTGACCTCAGCTTCATCCAGCATACCCTTTTCCTGGGAGGCTGGAGGAACCTGTCATGCTGCATCGGGAAGCTCGGTGCATGGACTATTTTTAGCTGTGCCAGTCCTGTCCCTGTACCACTCGCTGGGATCTTTCTAGCTTGATGTATTACTACTGCTCACCTTCCATGCATCTTCACCTTCAGTCCTTGTTTTCAGGTGCAGCATGCTAGGAGCCTTTTAAATCAAAGCGCTGAGTTTCAGTGGTAATGCATGTTGTTAATCTTGGGTGTCTTGTACAAAGTTAGTGATTTCACTATCAAAATAGCTCGAGTTCAGTTAAAACAGGACATGCTGTCTGGAAGCAAGCCTTAATTTGGCTGTTCTTACACCCGGCTCAGGACATAATAGGTTGAACTAAGGTTAAACGTAAAGCAGCCGTCTTTTAGGGCTGAGACGGAGGTAGAAATGCACCTGGCAGCTTGTTCAGTGTCACAGCAGAACCCTGTTACAAGCCCTGTTACAGCAGGGAACTCCAGCCCCTTCCTATTGCAGGTGAAAATTGCAACTGTCCTTTGTTACTGGAGGACAGCAATGGTTTGTGCATGTATATTCTGCACTGCTTGATTAAAAGCTCTGTGTTATGAAGGGTTTACAAGGTACATACTTGATCTGGAGTCTCCAGCCCGCTGGTTGTGCTGTTGGTAACATCTGGCAAAAAGGAGGTGCCTTGTTGGGACCAGGGTGTTACCGGCACAAATGTGGTGGAGAGCCAAGCTGAACAAGTGCTGTGCAGGAGCTAGGGCAGCAGGTTTGGGTTCTGCAGTCAACAAAATCCCAAGGGCAAGCAGAATACCCTTTGATTCATTTCAGGGCCAAAAATCTTTACACGAAGTCAGCGCCCACACGTGCAGCCCTGTTAGCACTGTGCGTTGCTAGATGAAACCTGGTGCTTTCAATGGAGTTTGAGTGATTCAAAGTCCTCAAGGGAAATATAACAAAACCCCAGTGAAATGCAGCTGTACATCCCTGCGTGGTGAAATACTGGTGAGACAAAGCTGTAGAGTCTGTGTAGAGTATGACTGACAAATAAATGGGGTAATTTGTGCTTTTTACGAGGTGTTTC